ATGCCATGCTAAGCTCTCTGAGAGAGTTCATTAGGTGAACATAGATGAATTGTGGGAGTCTGAGGTGTTGGCGTCTCAGGGGGAACTTCCTCTGTAGCCAGAAACCAATAAATATTTGGTATGAGGTTCTGGAATAATGTTGATTTAAAGTCATTTTCAGAGAGCTGATGGTTCCAGTCGCAGAAATCTATGAATCTGCTATAGGAAAGAGCAGCAGCCAGCAGAGGAGATTTAAAAATGGTTTAAAGGAAGTAGAAGAAAATCCCCAATTGAATATAGAGTTATGGAAGCCCCAGAGACATTGGGAATTTGGAAAACAGTGCATAGAATAATCTCCCTCTTTGAAGATTCTCAAAAGGCTTTAGTTTTGAGAAATTTCATAGTGAAAAAAACTGATTTTAGTGTTTCCGAATTTATTTGATCATAGGAATATCCCCATACTTCTAACATAGTAGCATCATCTTCCTGCAAAGTTTTTGAGGCACAGTCTTTAGGAAGTTTGGTCCATTCAATTAAATGCAGTATGGCAGATGATTTTGGTTTTGTAAGCATCAGGCATTATCATTTTCATTCTTCTCTTCATGAGACCTCACAGTATTATCTTACATTAGTCTCAAATTATTGCTTAGTGTACTAAAGTCAAGAAAATTGACTAATATTTTCATCAAATTTTTCAACATGAGTGAAAACAAAACATGACAAATGACACGAGAGAGTCCACATTGCATCAGACTTACTGTGGTGTCTAGTGATTATGTGTGGTCCCATAGAATAAATAATGTCCAGCATGTAGCATCTATATAAATAATTTCCCACAAATGTGTGCTATATTATTATTGCTTTTTGTAAAATAATTGAAAGACTCACAAACTGATTAGTTCACATTTCTAGTTCCTTCCTCCCAAATGAATAGAATATCAAATGAGGAATATATGTGTGTAGAATATATAAGCATATATGTTGTAACTAACACATATTTTCTAATTTAAAACCCTTTCTGTTCACTAGGATATATGTAAGGGTTTTTTAAAGTCATTAGAATTATTATTTCTGACTTAAGAGAAACAGGATCTAATATCTCAATTTCTGCTCTCTTTCCATCTCCTTTAAAGTCAAGTCATTAGAGCCTGAGTGTATCTGATATATCCTTTAATAGATTTTATTGTTTCATTTCTCTTAGTCACTACTAGTGCAAGTAATTTCACATTTATACTCTCAAGAGTTATTTTTAAAAAATACTCTGTTCAGTTTCTTGAATGACTTTTAAGATATTTCTTAAAATATCTTAAAATTTATTTATTTTTTAATTTATGGAACAAAATGATTATATCCTTTTAAAAAGGCTCCTTGGTATGGGCGTTGCCTTTCACTGAACAGGCCTATATATACATCCCCTGTATATTTCAAATGGCTTCTTATTGATATGCTAAGCAGGTAGCTACCTAAAAGGTAATGTTTTCATGTACAAATTAAGAAAGTGTCCAACTTGCAAGTGAGCTACCTTTTTAAAGTACTCTAACATGTCATTTCATAGACAATATAAAAGATAATAATAGTCACAAGTATGTATATCAGGGGCACTATTTTTTTTATTGTTTTTCTTTTCCCTCTTTGTTCTTAGCAACCAATGAAAGATGAAATGCTGTATTGTTAAATAAGCAAAAATAATCCAACTTGTTTTTAACTGTACAGAAGAGAGGAAAGCCAAGGCTGAAGAGAAGATTAAAAAGGAAGTGAAAGGTGGGAAACAAGAGAAAGTGAAGCCAACAGCTACAAAAGTCAAAGAAGTACACAAAACTCCACCTAAGCCCAAAGAGAAGGAGGGGAAAGAGACTGCGGCCGTGTCCAAGCATGAACAGAAAGGTAAACATTCAGAGGAGGTGGCCAGAGGTTCTAAGAGAACACTGGGCAAGAAGCAGATACAGTGAAATTAAAAACTCAGAAAGACTGAGATCAGACTCAAATAGGGATAAAAAGACTTGTATAAGTAAATATAGTAAATATACCTGAAAGAAGATCCAACAAGTGGGAATTAAAGTTCATTTATGGGAAGACTGAAATGTGTTCACATATCTAAGGATGTATTTTAAAGTATTTTTAAAAGAGGATTTGAGTTAATTATCTAAAGTTATTTGAAGGTTGAGGATGAATGTTAAATTCTTGAGCCATGGGATTTCTATTAAGAGGTAGAAAAGCAACTTTATGTTTCCTACTCTTTGGAGAAGAGCAGTCCAGGAATAATGACAACAACTTTCAGGGAGGTTTTTAAGGGGTCTATGTTCAAATCATATAGAATAAGTATCATAAAAACTACCCATACATTCCTGTTATCCCTGCAAAAGCACATAGCTTAGAATATACATTGAATTATTAAATTCAGTTAATTTAATGAGTAGGAAGTTATAGGACAAAGAACTCTCAAGTTTCTTTGCTAGCTTCCCCTGACTGAATTAATGACTTTAGAAATCTCCATATCTGCCCCTGTGCAGCTCTTCATAAGAGTGATGTCAGCCTTACATCCCTACTTCACAGAACTAGAGCATTTAAATAGAGGTGAAGTATAAACCTGAAATTCTTTATGGAAAGTTGCTGTGGAAACATAAAACATGGAGTTTTCAGAGGGCAGCCGGGGGCTTGTCCCACATTTCTTTCCCTTTTGGAATCTGTTTTTCCTGAAGTCCATTCCCAGCGGGCGTTATTCTGCTACACAGTCCTAAGGCTTCCTGTATAGGATCTACTCTGGAGGGGCTATTCCTACAAATGTTTCTTAGGGGTGTTGCAGAATAAGACTTTCCTTTATTCTGGTAGTTTTGAATAGTCATATTTGAGGATTAAAGGAATTGTTTCTATGAGATTTTCATTAAAAATTTTGAAAACATTTTTACTGAATAAGCTATTTGAACAGTGTAACTGAAAATAATTTTCACCATTATAAGACACAAGATATGAAATTTGCAGTCCACCCTTTTTTTTCTTTTAGATTCCACCTACAAGAGAGGTAATGTGGTATTTGCCATCCCAATCCTCTCTTGTGTTTTGGCTTTGAGTCACTTTTGCCCTTGAATTCGCAAGTAATATTTATAAATTTTGATTTATTTGACAAAAGATATACATTTTTTGAAAGTATTTTTAAAAAGGAAAGAAAGAAGAAAAAACCTTATGTCTCTCTTCTTTTTGTGACCCACAAAATTTTGAAATAAATGAAAATCACCTACATTTAAAAATCTGTGGATCATTAAAAAAAAAAGTGGGATTAAAACTTTGGAGTCCTAAAACCATTCTTTAATCTAAAGAATAATTATATTGCCTTGAAAGAATTAAAAGTATTGGTTATTATATTATATAATACATTATATATATATATATAATATCACTCTTAAAACTATATGTTATTTGTGATTATATGGGTAGAAAACAAAGCTATAGTAAGTAAAGAAAAAATATTTTGAATGGACTATTTTACTATGATAGAAAAAAGAAAAATTAATCTTCTGACTCATAGATATATCTATTTAAAATGATTATCAAGGTCCTAAAATACTTTGCATTTCAGATTTCTCTTTAAAAATGAAAAGAATCACATGAAACCAGCTGAAATGTACCAAGTATATTTTTATTTTTTATCCATAAATACAGTATATAAAAAAATTCATTCCACTTATATACGGGAGTATCAAAATACTTATCTAGCAACTGCGAGCATGAATAAACTTTTTGACGTCCATTTTTAGTATCTTTGGTTTTTTTTGTGTGTGGGAGGCACATTTCATTGATGAAGACACATCACTGGAACATTTTAAAATAATGTTTATTTTCTAGGTCACATAGATTGTATTTCATTTGTATCAGTAATCAGAATTATTAAAGATAGCATTCTATTACCATTTTCATTTTCAATCTACAGTATTCATTTCCACATAAAAAGCTATTTATCTCACTTAATGTTAAAAGGACATTCAAATATCACTTCAAGTTAGAAACAAAAGCACAAATGTGATTTTATCAGCTAAGTAAATGCATTCGCTAAAATAAGGCTTCCTATTAAGACAGCTACCATCAATTAAATAATTGTATCATTAGGTAAATAATCAAAACTTTACTTCCAATTCCTGGTCAGACACATAAACATATTTCTTTTTAAATTAAGCAAAGATTCAAGAACATTTATTTATAAAAAGCCGAATCACGTTATGGTTTCCACTAAACATGATATACAAAGATTGCATGTTTTTTAAATAGTCTATTTGTGAGTTGGCTCTGATTTTGAGACTCTTGTATTGATGATTTAGTAAAATAGTTGAGTAAGTTCTCCTTTGGGTAAGGGATTATTTATTTGCTTAGCTTAAGTTAGCCTTAATGAATTTGAGTCCTTTTCAGATAGACTTCTAAATAGTTCTTTGTAAATAAATAGGGCCTACAGGTCTTTCATTGGAAACAGATTTTTACATGGAGCACACACACTTATTGGCAATTTTTAAATTATATAGTATACATGAAAATATATTCACATGTAATTACTCTTAGTATTATATATTTTTAAATGATACGTTGCCATGTAAAGTGCTGGGAATCAGATGTGTAGGTATGCACATGCCTACCATAAACTTATACACACACTTATATACCACATAATCCAGTTTTTATGGACCAATCTTAATCTATTGCAAGTTGGGCAAGAAAGATTGACATCATCAGGAATTGTTCTCTGATTTTCTATAGTCTGTGGCAAATCTACGGGCAAGGAAAAACAAAACAAAACAAACAAACCTCCCCACTGCTATGCTTTTCTTTTCTTTCCCCTCCGCTACTTCCTCCTCTTCCTCTTTCTCCTCTTCCTCTTTTGCCTTCTCCTCCTCCTCCTTCATCTCCTTCTTTTCAATCACAATTTCAAAATTTTGGCAGGCAGAGATAATATAGCGAATATGAATTTATCATAGAGCAGAAGACCACACATGTCCCATGCTCATAAGAGGGTTTTTGTTTGTTTGTTTGTGTTTGTTTGTTTAACAGTTTCCCTTCTGTTGACATTCTGCGCCCAGAATGCATGTTCTCTCAGCTGCCACTCCACAAGGAACACGGGCAGGGCAGCAGCTGAATGACACCCATCAGGGCTCTGTGAGGAGGAGAGACGTGGTCAGCATGTGTTATTCTTAAACAATATTCATTTGGGGAAAAAATTAAGAAGTGGTGACCAAATATGAAATTATATGAATGATTATCACAAAACTATGAAAGTTAGCAAAATAGAACAGTTCATGTTTTCTTTAGAAAAATTTTCCTAGTTTAATGTTTGAGTTGCATTTTTAAAGAAGCATTTCTATGAAAAGAATCTTCCAAATCAAGTAGGCTTGGTTTTGCTTTATCCTTAGGTGAAGCAGACACATTGGGGGCTGCTCAACATACACTTGCCTGGAATTCTTACATGTTGTTAAGGCCAACACTCAGGACAGATGGAAATTCGCATCCTGACTTAAAGTATTTGAAAATTCTCAATTTAAAATACTGTAAAAAATACTCTCATTTTCCTATTGATGCTATTAGAATGCAACATCATGACTTCACTCAAATAAAACAGAAACATCCTAAGAATTGTAACTCAAACAATTTTCTTGATTAAAAAACTAAACATTTTTTAAATGAATAAAGGATTTTCTTTCTTAAATTGAAAGCACATAGGATTATTGGTACATTAATTAAATGAGTGACTTGTGGAGCCAGAAAATGTTGGTATAATGAATGCAAGCATTTTACCTTGGTAATAATCTAACATAGAAACTAAGGAGTTTTATTATACTGTCAGCCCTCAGTTAAGGAAAAAAAAACTCTGAAGCATGAAGATTTTAGTTTATTCAGTATACTGTTCTACATGTTATGTGCATAAATATGCCATCATAACTTGGGGGCAGAGAACATTTCATTCTGGGGGATGGCCCAAACCCTTCAAATTCCAGGTAGTCCCTGCATTCTCAGCTTCTCACACACACATATTCTCTGTTGCTGTTGCTGAAGGCTATAGTGTCACTAGGAATCATGGTGAAAGAAACAAAAAATTGAAGGATTTTAGATCAATGATTCTGGAAGATAGTCTAATTGGATCTTCTGAAGAGTTTGCTAAAAATGCATATTCTAGGATTTAGACACAGGCCCCATCTTTTTGATATTTAAATTGCCCTTTGAAACTACTTCTGCATTGTAGGAAGGACAAATCTAAAAAGAGTACAGTCACTTGAGGTACTGAAACAAAGGGGAAAGCTTAAAAATTTCAGGAAGTCTTCCCTTGCTCAACCTCAGATTTGCCATAAAAAGGAAATATACTTTATGTTTTGCTCCATCTTTGATCCAAATCTCCTAGCCTGGAATTTTGCTCAGGAAAACAGTTATGTCCAGAAAAGAGAAAATACTCTTTAAGTTAATCTTTTCTCCTGTGTCATAGGGTTCCTGTGTCTTGGTTTCAAAAACCCTGGTTATTATCTAGTACATCCAGGAACAAATAGATTTCCTGGACTTGAACTGAGAACTAGCCTCCTTCTAACTTCCCACCTCACCTGTGGGAAAATGGGCTATAATTCAAGAACCAACACACATGCAAATTCTTAAAACTTCATGAGTTTTGGCTTACTCATATTTAGGTACTAATGAAAAGGATTATATTTTAACATTTACTCTAATAATTACATTAATTTTTTCAAAGACCTGGCAGAATTTCATAGTAAGATGGATTATTCTAAAAATGTTGTTAATACTCTAAAAAGAATAAGGTCTACGAAAATCATTGTATGTGTGTTTATTATATAGTAACAAGTTTCATTAGTTCGCATGTTTGATAGACATGATTTCAAGCACTTAAGGGTGTGTCATGTATAAATTGAATAAACTCTTGGTCCTAAAGCTACTTTTGGAGTTGTTATATTAATAAAATGCCTACTTAGAAACTTTAAAATGTAAATCATCTTTAACAAGGTTAATTTCATAATATGCCTGCTTTAAAAGACGATCTGGTAAAACTTATGGAATAGTTCACCAACTAAAATTTAGGTTGGAATGACCTCAGCAGAATCTAAAGTTATGTGAGAACATAAAGTTAACTGCCATGTCTTTAATTTAGAGGGAAAAGGGGATAAAAAAAGAACTCTAAAATCATTTGACCAAGTTTGCCAAAATATTCAAATCCTTTGTTTTTTTTTTTTTTACTTTTTCCATAGACCATAGACTAGTCAAGATCACAAGATATCTTCAATGAAGAAAACTCAGTTAATTAGCTTAACAATGATATCCTGTGATGCTGAAAGTCTATTCTGCACATACTCTTCTAATTGAGAAGACTTTCCATGCAGAATCCTTAACACATTGCAAAGGAGTTAGTCTTCCTGCTTGCCTTTTCAAGTAAACGTTCTATAGCTCCATTTAGACAATTAGCAGAAGGGCTTGGAATGAATAATTGGTAAAATGTTCCAAGTTGGAAATAATTTCCTCTTGTAAAACCTGTTTCATAATTGGAAGTGTATATATGAACAATGAGAAAAATTGCTTTAATTCGATGACTTTTTAATGAATTTGATGAAAAACGTTTTGATTAAAAGAAAGAACAACTGTATGATATTACCCTGAACTAGTCTGTTCAGTTATTTAAGGTTATTCTTTTTGTATGTAATAAATCAAACCTTATATCTATTATGTCTTTTTCCCTGTGTGTTCATCTGAGTGCAAATTATTCCTTCACAGAAAATATTGTATTAACTAAAATAGAATTGTGCTATTTTGTTTGTTTTGATACACCAGTTCTCCTTAGAAGAAAGAAAGGTGTTGATGACATTTTTTCATTGCTCTTTTTCTTTCTACTCTGTCAGATCAGTATGCATTCTGTCGATATATGATTGACATGTTTGTCCATGGGGATTTAAAACCAGGTATTGGAAACAATTTTTGTACTTGTCTGTTTTAATGGTCTTTGTTTCTAAGATTGTTGGCGTTTTTATGTACTAAACTGTATTTTCATTTTTAAAAATTGCATAATGCATGTTTAGATCTAGAATAAAACCAGTAAAAAGCACAAGTAATAACTGGCATTAGGGCCTTTATTTTTACTTTCTGCTACTGCATGGCCTATTGCAAATGAATTCAGTTGAAAGCTAAAAAATTGCTAATATCTTTATATATGAAAAATACTAATATCTTTAATAATATCTTGGAGTGAAGAGGTGAATCATTTTATTTCTGGTAAACCTTATATAAGACCTATGACAATAAAAGTATCTTTTTTAATAGTGAAAAATATTCATATTAAATCCATCACAATTCAGATATTTAATTTGTTTCAAAAAATGTTTTTTTCTCACATGAACCAGGGTTAGCCATTCCAGAGATCTATTACTGATGGAGATAGTCAACCTTAGAGTTAATAGTCAACACAATGGAGAAATATTTTTCCTAAAAGCAATTTATCTATCATCTCACTTATCTTTAATTGTTGCCCAGAGTGTAACCAGAGATTCTTTACTAATATCTTAATTAATAATGAATAGCTTGATTGCTTATAGTAGGCCTTTTGCAGATTTAAAGACAGATAGTACTATGTTATGTTTGGGGAAACAGTTCTAAGAAGATGGTATTGTTAAGGAAGGGGCTAATTTATGTTAGAATAACTGAAGCTGATTGTTTAAAGCAAACTATATATTGGCTCTAAACTATTTTTATGGAGATCGCTCCAAAATGTATGATTACATTTATGCATGTATTGGCAAATGGGCATATCATATTTAAAACAATACATATAACAATATATATAACAAGTACATATAAAACAATATATATAACAAATCTAAAGATCCTAAAAAATTTGAAGATCATGAGAATTTTGGTTCTCTAGAAAATTTAGTTAATTCTAGTAACTTATTCAAGTTAATTTCCACCTCTTGTCCTCTTCTTCATTTTCCTAATCTTTTTACTCTTCTTTTTTTACTTTCTTACTGAGTTAGAAACTGAAATGAGAGGGAAAACACTGAAAAAATATAGTGACTCACTTGGGTGATAACTCACTTGGTAAAAATGATTGTCAAGGTATGTGTATGGTATCATAGTAAAATTAGATGCAAACATCCAGGGAAGTAGTATAATATAGTGAAAAAAGAGGGCTTTGGACATTTGGTTGCTGGGCCAATGACAGAAAAGGATGGGATCCAGATTAATTCTTGACCCTTTCCTTTTCTGGTATTGGCCCTTCAGCAAATAATGGAACTCTACATGATCTTCAGTGTCCTTGCAGTGACTGTAAAGTATCCTTTACAGTAACAAGCTTGTAAATTTGTTGATAAAGCATCTAAGTAGATGCACAAAATAGTATAACTTTATTATTTAAATCATTCAATATAGCACAGACTGTGTGGTGAATATCCCACATGAAAGAAACAACATTGGTGACTTTCAGTCTATATACATCATTAAGTCAATTTTAGCTTAACAGATTTGCTGACCAATTTATTTAACTGTGATAGTTTAAGAAAGTTATATTCTATACATATATTGCTTTGAAGAGATCAACTGCTTACTTGTATGTACCATGAATCTATGTTCTAACGAGCATGAGTTTTAAATTCCATTATTTGAGGGAAATAATGTGCTCTTTGTGCCCCCAAATGATTCATAGAGCTACTAATTGATCATAAAATACAAATTCTAAGAAAATCACAGGACAGAGAGAACCATACATTGTCAAAGTCAGTGAGGGATGCTAAGAGTTTAATAGTCACAAAGCTGATAACTTCTTTCCAAAAATTCAACAACAGATCAAGATAAGAAGGAACAAAGAAACCATCTCTGGAGGAGTTAAGGAGAATTCTGCTGTTAACCATTCAGGGAGAGATCTTCTAAAGTCCTATGTGAACATTTTCTAAACAGCCATGAGTTTAGACCTGCAGCACTATCTAATATCTTAACTCCTGGAAATCGTTCCCAAGTGCTATAGGATTAGATTTCTTAATATCATTTATTACATTTAAAATTGCCTTTCTAATTTGTTTCATCTACTTACAATCATGATTTTGTAGGCTGATTGCTATAATGTCCAAGAAATTAAAGAATATGTAGATCAGTATTTCTGGGGAAATACTGTATTTCAGCATTTCAGGAGGTGGAAAGGAAGAAGCTGGAGAAGGGAAACCTGTATGGTAAACCTATTGTTTCATATAATAAATTCTATGAAACTTCATAGGTGTAGAGAAGGAACATTTATATTACTTTTCTTGGTGAGACAATACATAAGAGGGAGTAAGAAATCACACAATATGGTCTGCATTTTGAAAATAAGGAATGAGAAAAAAGATTTATCTGGGCATACTAATTTAAAGAAAATTCAAGTGATAAGACTTCGACTCTGACAATTAGAGAATAAAACAATTCCTGCTAAGTTTATTGCTCTGCATGTATCCAGTATTTATAAAACATTTGTGCTTCCATCTGTTTCTGTTTGGGATTAGTAGAACACCTGTTATTATTTAGCTAGAGTTCATTATTAATTATTGGTAATGAGTTTTTAAAACTATAATTTGATTTTTCCCTTTGAGATAAAGTACTTCCTTTATATAATGTTGCCACACCCTCAAAAGTAACCCAAATCACAGTTGAGTTTTATGAAACCTTACTAATGAAATGTACTGACACTATGACATAAGTCCCAAGTTTTGCGTTTCTATCCCTTTAAATAAAATACTTCTAATAAAGATAGTCTTAACACTTTTTTTCTAGCTAATATATACCTGAAAATGAACTGAATTGCTCTTTTTGAATCTGTAGTGAATATGCACTATCTTATGGTCAGTAACAATCCCCACCTCAAATACAGGGACCTTCTCAATAAGCCAGCATAAAGTGTAAGGATCATATCATTTTTTAGTATCTAATTAAAATTCTCCTATACTGATCCACTCTACATTAAGTTGGAAAATTTCAAAAATTATATTTAAACCTAGAAAGTGAATATATGCTAATAAGGCTGGCCCTATGGGAAATTGGAGTAGATGTATATGTGCAATGTATAATTTTAGGGGTATTATGGATATTGAGGTGCTTCCTTCTCTAGAAATATTCTCTCTGCTGCTCTTAAATGATCCAACAATGTTGCCATTAGATCTCTTGATTGTGCACATGGTCAATGTTATAGAACATGTTTTGAATGGTCCCTAACCTATCTTAGGGAAGAGAGGGGGAGGGAAGGAGAGAGAGAGGAGGGAATGGAGGGAGATGGATCCTGTTCTCCTAAGGTGGCTGTCCTGAAGCTGATGATTCACACTTTTTAGGGTTAATGTAGTCTCCTTATCATTTTCTTATGAGAGAATTATGAAAACTGGTCAAAGAAGACATTAGTAGCTACATAGAAACTCAATTTATGGTGTTTCATTTTTTTTTGTTCTGCTTTTAGAAATTGATAGTACTGATGGTCAAGATAAATGACTCTAGATATTTTATCTTTATCAACCTTCCAGTAACTCCAGTTTCCTTTTCAATACTTCATTACTAAACACATTTTTCTTAAGTGATAGCCATACCCATAACTTCATTCATTTATGTAGACTTTAAAAGAACCTTCATGATTTTGTTAGGCATTTTCACATTTCCTCTTCATCAAGGTCCTCCTGAGGCAAATGAATTGCATACATTGCTGGGTGAAGTCAACTGAGTGAAACAAGAGGCAAATTTCAATAAGGAAAAAAATCACATGGCTCACAGATATCTTTATACTTACCACAGATAAGGAAACCAATCCTTCCAGGAAACAGGCCTCATATTTTTTGCTTAGTTTTTGCTTAGTTATTTTAACACTTTCTTTACCTTTTCATCTCTGTATGAAAAAAATCATAATCATAAAGCCATTATGATTAAAGTTCAATACAAGTTAAAGTTTATCACTTAGAAGTTATCCCAACCATTGAAATTCTGGCTGCTGTCTGACTTTTACTTGAGCCAAAAATTTATATTAAGGTAATTTATTCTGCTTTCTGTGTCATTTACTCTCTTAAAATTGAAGGTATTCACCTATCAAAATCTTCTCTGACTATAATAAGGTATTCTTTGGCAGCTTGTATTCCAATTCTATGGGTTTTAAGTCCACAGCCAGAAATAGCCTTAAGGAATAAGTTGGTACTCTCGTTTTATTAAGATCTTTTTCTCGAACTTCAGTTGTGCCTAACTGCATTTTTGGTTTGATCCTGCTGAGAAGAGGTCAAATGTAATTGCATTATAGTCACTGTTATTTAGTGATTTAATCTAATGTATTTCAGAGCTCAATTGGCTATAATGGAAAAGACTAGGTAAGATTCAGCCTTGTTTTACTTTTCTCTAAAAAATACTGTTCCATGAAAACATACTCACTTTAGTTTCAAACATCTAATTATTTTCACAAAATAAAAGCTTGGGAGTTTTTATGTTAACTCCATAAATATTTGTTGAATCCCCTCAGCAAGTTGATAGTCCAGAAAAGAGAGAAGACATGGCATACATAACTTTAAAACCAAGGAGAAGTTGATAAGTATGCAACCGAGGCTTAGAGAATGTATATGCTAATCTCAATATACTAGGAACAATAGTTATCTCCACTTACCACTTGGACCTCTTAATTTTTTTAATATTTTAAATCATTTAAAAAATGGTTTATGGAAGTAAGAATAAAGGGATAGTGAAAATTGTGATAAGAACTTAAACATGGCAAAAACTAAAAATTGATTTCATCAGTTTCCTGATTTTGAAAGTGTATGTACTCCAAATTGGAAACATCTTCAGAAAGGAACTAACTGCCCATTAATTTTCATTCATAAACTTGCAATATATGCACTAATAGATACCAGTTCCAGATTTCAAACATCTTTAATAAGTTCTAGCATAATATTATTTTTGGTTCTTTCAGAATTTGGATCATCAAAATGTAGCAGTTGAGTTTTTGAAATCATTGAGACTCAATTTCATTGAAAAAATATCATCTCCATCTCATTTCTGTGAGACATTTTTTAGATTAATAAACATTATTTAGAATGATAAATCCAATGATTTTTTTGCATACATTATTAATTTCATTCTGATACCTCCTTTACCTTTCTTTAGCATTTGTCCACTTAAAAATCACAAATTTTGTCACATAGATTTTTAAAAAAAATGAAAAAGTACTATAACATACCCTTCTAACAAAATGAGATAGGTTAGGTTCTTGCCACAAAATATTGCATGATAAAGTCCTTCTGGTTGAAAGACTAAGTGGATGAGAATACCATATTTCCTTTCTGTCCTTTGAAATGAATTGTACACTCATTGATTCTTGAGAAAACTCATTGTTATATGAAAATTCACAGTCTGAGATTTCATTTGAGTGATCAATTTCAATTTCACCTTAATCACTAAAGTTTAACATACTTTTACCTCTCTTTTTGCATTCTTGCCTTCTGATTCATCTAATAACTGAAGTATCTCCCTCTGTCAATTTTCTTCTCTTTGTAGTTATGGATAAAAAATAGAACTTCTAAATTCTAAACTATGTTGAGTGAAACTAAAAGTAGACAGTAAGAATGTTTCCAGACTTCTTTTATACCTTCTCAAGTGATGATGTATTACTTTAGTCACAACAATAAGGAAACTGAATGATGATGAGATAAGGATGGTTTGTTTTGCAAATGCATCATCCTTCCAGTCAACTCCATAATTTTTCTATTTTTTTCTTATTATTTTAGTCATTTTGTGGCATTGCTGGGAATAATTGATGAGTAATAATGAAACAATTCCTAAGTTGATGAAATAGAAATGTCCAAGATAAGGGGAAAAACTAAGATTATATAGATTCCATCATGCGTCCTGGATTTTTAAAGTTGTTCAATGGTGCCACATGGTAATTACAAGTTAGAATGAGTTTAAAAAATAATTTATTTTTTATTTTTTATTATTATTTATTTTTTAATAAACATATAATGTATTTTTATCCCCAGGGGTACAGGTCTGTGAATCACCAGGTTTACACACTTCATAGCACTCACCATAGCACATACCCTCCCCAATGTTGATAACCCCACCCCCCTCCCTTAAAAAATAATTTTATACTTTTATTTATAAGAATAAATTTTATTTATAATTTTGTTCTGTTTAAAAAATAAAGTAATTTTTTCTTTGTTCTTTGGGAAACCTATAAGAAAAAATAAGACGAGATAGATCAGTCCCCACAAGTAGTTACAATTGCTCAAAACCTAACCAAACCAAAACTCAAAAACAATAATTAACTTCAATAGATCCTGATAGCACCCTGAGAATTAGTGGTGAGAATGTAAATGTGAAGGTCACACAATCCAGGATTTAAACACTTTCCTTGTGTTTAAAAAATTTTTTTGAGTCTCAATTTTTTATCAAAATGTATTTCTTAAAGTTTTTAAGATGATGAAATAAGAAACTATATGCTCATGTCCTCTCCCCACATGTTTTTACTTTCTCTTTTACTATGGAAATGTACTGCAAAAAAGATAATGCTTCTTGTGTGAAAAATCAGAGATCTTATGGAACAAGAAAAGTCAAGATGGGTCTTAAGACATTGTTAGACTGTGTCTACATGAATTTAAGGATAAAGATATAAAGACTGAAGGGATAACACTTTAGGCACAGAATACTGAAGTGTTCTTTTGTGACTATCAGCTGTTGAGTATTTATTCTTTGCTAGTTTCTTAAAATAATCTTATTTAATCTTTATAAAACTTTGGGAGGAGTATATCATCATTCTTGTTTTGCAGAACAGAAAATTGAGGTAGACAGAATTTAAGTGTTTTGTCTAAGTCAAATACAGTGCAGACAGGGGATTCAAATCCAGCCTGACTAATTCTAAAGCCTAAAGCTTTAGGCTAAAAAGCAGAGATGCTTTTTAGGCAGAGATGGGGAACAGCAAATGGTTCACTTTGGTTGACACTCAAGGAACCTAGAAAGAGAAACAGAATTGGAAACATTTGTGCAAGAAGGATTGGAGGGAACGGAATTAGAAAGACCAGTTAAGATGTGTTCAAGGAAAAGAAGTGAAGATTGATCTTGGGAGATGTGATTAAGGGAATTAAGAAGATTTTAGAGCTATCACAGAGGTAAAATCATGGGCTTTATTATCATAAATACCAAAGGAGAGGAAGGTAAGATTTTTTCAGAGGTTGTTGGCCTGACAATCTAAAACAAACAAAAAACCCTAACTAGGAAGTAAAGGAAGAGAGTGGGTCAAAACTCATGGGAATGGGCAGGGCTGGAGAGGAGACTTGGAACCCATTTTCTATTCCTAAAGCCACAGATGGTCTTCAGCTGCAAAAGGGGATGATCTGAAGATTCCCATCCAAACGTCATTTGTTAAGCACCTGCTAAATACCAAGGTTCATACCAGGTACTCTCACATACTTTGTCATTAGATTCTCACAGCAACTTCTGAAATTATCTGCAGTTAGATAACCAAATGTGGAGTTTTGGGGAGAGCTCAATGGTGGAATGAGGTTGCCAAAGGAGTGAATGAAATAAGTTGACATACAAATAACTGCATACCTTCTGCACGTTCAGCAGTCCCAGACCAGGCACAGAAGGGGATGTAAGAACACCAAAGGATGATCTCTAAGTTTAACAAGTGGAGCGGGTGGTATTTGAAAGGGAAAAAGAAACTAATAAATGATAGAAAAAGATTAAAGTTGGGAGTTAGATTGCATAATACTGACACTAAATGTTACACATTTCAGAGAGACATCTGTGATTCTTGATGTCAGGGAAGACAACAGGCATCTAGAACTTGAAAGACGGATAGTATTTGACTAAGGGCTAAGGGAGACACAGGCCTTGCTTTGGATATGAATGGAAGAGAAAACAAATGGGACGTGACATGGCAGTGCGTGGGAAATTGATGTGTTTGTGTGACAATGAGGATATCAGACTGACAAGATAAATGAAGATGAGAAAACATCAGCAAAGTAAGAAGTGATAGGTTTGTAGTGACATTACAGATGCTCGGTCAATCAGGCAAAGATGAAACTTGGCGTGGAAGAGAGTCTGAAATTTTTTAAAAAGAAAAATGACGTGAAACCAGCATTTCAGAGTGCCATCGGGCAGCATCTGCTTAAGGGATTGGAAATGGAGTAAAGTTTATGAACTATTGCTAAAGCTGATGAACTTAAAACATGGTTTTAAAGGAAGAAAGGACAAATTTACTAAGTCATTGTTCCTATAGGTGGTGGATCCTATACTGTGTATAAGTAACTTAAGAAATTAATATTGCAACTCAAAAGGCTATAAACTATTTTGACAAAGTTCACCCACATGGTAGAAACTTAAATGAGGTTTAGATGTAAATGAGAAGAGTGAAGTATGTGTGAGTATTTGCTAAGAACACAGTGGAGTAAAAGGGTTAGAACTGACCTCTTCATAACCGAGAAAGGGACCATAATTTCCTTTCCTCCATTGGCTGATTTTTGCTGTTCTGCATTATTTTATTTTGATTCTTCAGAGGTAGCCATCCAGCCATCCAATGCATGGACATTTCAGGCAGTGAAATCGGGGGTTAGGCACAGAGGCTCCAGAGTCAGACTGCATGGTTTCAATTCTAGGCCCTGCCCCTTGCTTGAAATATGACTTCATCAAATTAATCAATCTCTGTAGGCCTTCATTTCCTCCTCTGTCAAAGGAGGCTGAGAAGATTGTGGCAGAATACATTAGCAGATGGTCAAAGTGCACTTAAGGGTCTGTGGCTCCCTGAGTGTCAGCTCTTCTTTAGTCATTGAGCACGTTTCTAGGAGATGTCACCAGCAGAATTTTTTAGGGAGAGGAAGCCATTTCTTCAGATCCACATCAACACGTAAT